ATGGGGTGGAAATAGAGAAAATATTTTTGCCCCAAATTAGGGATGGGGTTTGCATGTAATTCCCCAAACCCGATGATAAATTAGTAAAATATCCGTAGGTTTAATATTATTTTTAAAATATCTCTAAGTTTTCCTCATATTCTTATAATCCTAGGATCAAGGATTTAAATATCAGTATCGGCCTATGGCGGTACAGGATATGCTATAAACAGAAGCGTATCCCATAGGTACAGATTTGTATCGGCCTGTATCGCATTGTATCGGTCGCTACGATACAAACCGCTATGCATTGATACGTAGTATTTCTTTATAAAAAGTGCAAATATGATGATAAGAACTCGGATACCAAAGTGCACCCAGAGCTTTACACCTTAAGTGCAATTCTAAGCCACTAATCCACGTTTATCCTTATGATAATAAACCAAATAAAATAAACTTTATTAACTTCTGTCTCTACATGCACTTTTTTTAATCTTTATTACCAAAAAAAACTCTAGCTAAAATTTCAAAACAAATACAAGGAAAAACTAAAATTTCAAAAGAATAATATTCAAAAACAATATTTTATAAACTAATACAATAAATAATCTATCAAATCCATGTTTATATAAAAAGATGATTTTTAATATCAAGAAAATTATACAAATAAAATATTAAGAATAGAACAATTATTTTAATACTTAAAATTTATAAATTTTCAAATGATATGCATATTAAAATTATTGTATATATTTACAAATTATTAATTATTTTAATTTATATCAATAAGTAATAACAACATATTTATTATTTATAAAATATTTAAGAATATAACATTAAATTGAATTTATCAAATCCATTAATCTATATTTATTTCAAAAATTTATTTTTCATATTAAAAAAATTATATAAATAAAATATTAATTAAATAATGATTATTTTATTAATTTAAAATTATGAATTTTGATATGATATTTATATTATAAATTTTAACAAATTTAATATACTTTAAGTTGAGATTATATTTTTATACATTATTAATTAATATTTTAATTTGTATTTGAGAATTTAATATTTAGTTGACTTTTGTTAATGTTAAAAAATAAAAATAAAAATAATTTATGTAAAATTAAAATATAATAGGTGCATATGCTTAGTGCCTTGGACTCTTGATTGATGCATTATAAATAAAAGGGTAAAATACAAAGACCTCCCCTAAAGTTTCTAACAATCATAAAAACCTCCCCTATAGTTTCACTTTAGCAAAAACCTTCCCTCTATTTTTAAAAAATTCAACAAATACCTCCCTTCCGTCAATGACCAAGAAGGAAAACATTAAAGAGATGATCATTTTTTCAAAATACCTATTTTACCCTTTTACAAATTAATGTGCATATGTTTTTACTAAAATAGCCCTATCTCAGCAACTCCATAATCCGCTCGATCATTGTTCCTCTTCTCCAACTACTTCACCATTAAAGCGTTCACGGAGTCTCACACGAGAAATTTGTAGGTTCTTCTCACAGAAAATCTGTAGGTTCTTCAACTGCTTCGCCCTTCTGTCATTGACCAAGACAGAAAACGTTAAAGAGATGATACCATCTGATTGGTGATTCAGAACCTCTGCTCTTCCAACCCGTTGATTTGTTTTGGGTAGAAAAGATGGGTGGTAGTGATTTTTCGAAGCATTCTCCAGTAAACCCCATAAGGAGTGAATCCGATGGCTCAATTGAACATCAATCTGTAAGTTGACTCCTCCACAGGACAATCAACAAAGACAAAGCTGTTCAAGATCTCTTTCACTACATCGAGGTTGCAAGTGACGATGACACGAGACTCTCTGAGATTGAAAGCCATAGGCCAACTGGCTCTACATTGCTCCGTCACAGTTGCCAGCCGGCGGTGCACGAGGCCAGCCATAAGATTCTTTCGCTACATCGAGGTTACAAGTGACGATGACACGAGACTCTCCGAGATTGAAAGCCATGAGCCAACTGGCTCTGCACTGCTCCGTCACAGTTGCCAGCCGACGGTGCACGAGGCCAGCCATAAGATTCATGCTTCCAAACACAGGGAATCCTCTCGACCCTGGTATTGGCTTGGCTCTGGTTCCTTTCTTCCACCAATACCTTCCCTAGGTGGGTCCACCTAGGTAAGCCCAGTAAAGAAGAGCCACTGTTAAACAAGCTAAACCCAAGAGGAGTAAAGAGGAGAGGAGATTAGCAAGCGAATTTTGCTTTGGACCCAGAGGAGAGGAAGGACCTACAGATTTCTTGTGTGAGACTCCGTGAGAAGAACCTATAGATTTCTCATGCAAGACTCCGTGAGAAGAACCAACAGATTTTCCATGAGAAGAACCTACAGATTTCTCATGCGAGACTCCGTGAATGCTTTAATGGCGAAGCAGTTGAAGAAGATTAATAGTGTTCGAGCGGATTATTATGGAGTGTACTGCCATTCTGTCACTATGCGTGTGAGGAAGAAGATGAGCAATGTCTGAGTGACAGGGCTATTTTAGTAAAAACATATGCACATTAATTCATAAAAGGATAAAATAGGTATTTTGAAAAAAATGATCATCTCTTTAACGTTTTTCGTCTTGGTCATTGACGGAAGGGAGGTATTTGTTGAATTTTTCAAAAATAGAAGGGAGGTTTTTGCTAAAATGAAACTATAAGGGAGGTTTTTATGATTGTCAGAAATTCTGGGAGGTTTTTGTATTTTACCCTAAATAAAATTATATGATATCTATGCATCCTGATATTAATTATAATATATTTCTTCATATACATCACTAAAATATACATTTCCTATGTATTTATATACTATTTGTGATTATTTTGATCTTAAATTTAATGATGTTATTGTATTTATGGAATTTGTATGTATTTTCATAGTGTATCCATGCATTTTCATATTTTTCTTCTGTATCCATGTGTTTCCTAAGCGTATCCGTATTCATATATGTATCCGAGTTGTCTGATACGATACCCGATACTGATACTTTAATATTTACCTAGATTCCATAATTTCATTTATAAAATACCCCCAAATTGTCATAATCCAATTTCTAAAATACCCCCAAATTCTCAAAATCCTATTTGTAAAATATCCAAAAATTAGATTTTTTTAGATGGTTAAATTAGAGTAAGGAAAACTTGAGGAATCAAGATTCCCCATCCCCGACGGGGAATGGGTGCCTCGCCCCGAATTCGAGCAAGGATTGAGTAGAGTGTATTGACTTACAGGGTGAGAGATAGGGAGGATTGCCCCACCCCGTGCATCACACGACCCCTTGCTCTGACTTTCAACCAGATCTGGTTAACTGATCCAATCCGAAAGCCTAGTTTCAATCAAATCCGATCAACCGATTCAGCCGAAATCTGAAATCTGAAATCTGATAGAGGGTTATCCGGATCCACAAAAAGATTCGGATTCGGATCTCCGATCCATTTGCACCGTTACATTTTGCAGGTACCCTCTTTGAAACCCCCCGCCCCATTTGGGGCCGTTTCAATTTTAATAACCGCTAAAATGGCTGATGGGTTATCAGAAACAATCCATGAGTCTAGAAGTGGAGAGGGTTACTATATTCCTTAATTTTATTTATTTAATTATTTTAATCAACAAAACAATAATTTTGTCTGTTCTGTTCACCAATTTCAGCGTTATCAAACAACCCATGAGTCTAGAAGCGGATGGGTTTTATCACCTGAAAAAACAAAAACAAAGGGCGATGGTTCAATGAGCGACTCAATAACTAATGACCATAATAAATGTAAACAGATAGAGATCTCAAGGTTTGGGTCAGGCTGGCTGATATTAATATATACCATTACCGACAAAACCATCCACTCCCCCGCACAAAACAATCAAAACAAGAGCAGAAATAGAATCAGCAGAGAGCAGAGTGAGTAGCCACCAGACAGTACGAGTATGGAATCCTAGGAATTAGGATTATCTGTAATGGCATCATCCTTCGAGCACTCAGAAGTGACGCGACGACGACGACAGGTGGCTCTGGTACAGACCAGATCAGAGAGAGTGAGAGACAGCAACGACAACGAGGATGTTGTCGTAATTAAATGTCCTTTTCGGGGGCAAAGTTGTAAACTTTTAAGGATGCATTCATTCAGAATTTCAGATCAAAGCTCTACCCTTCACCTACGGTTCTCTACGACCTGGCCCCTGGGAAATTCAGATCAAACTAACCAAACAAAGGAATAACAAAACGCGTATCAGGCGTTTTGATACTTATTTTTTTTTATTTTCAAAATTGATTCAGAGGAGTGAGTCGATCTAGGATTCCTTCATCCCCTGAACCGGTCAAACTCTTATATCAGCCCATATTAAACCTTGGCCTAACCCTAATAACAGCCAAACAACAGCAGATGACCTTTTCGTCATCTCCTTTTGCAAGTTACTGGAGATATTCTATAATTGCTGTAGATATCAACTTTTGGATGTGCCCTTATCGAATCCGGATCTCCTGCCAATAAAATACAATCTACTAATATCTGATACCACACATCACACGCCTTTATCACCGATTGAATTACCAGTTACGTGAGGAGAAGATCTGGACTCAGCAGGAATACGTGGATGATACATCACACGTTCAAGTTGCATATAAGTAATTTTTAATTTATTTTGTTTATATTAAATTCATTTTATTAATAAAATGCAGGATGCACACGATCCGATTGAATTAATCAAAATTGGATATACTTATATCCGTTCAATCCGTTTGCAGCCTAAAAAGTAGGAATTGGGCTGGGCTGATTAGGGCACGTTTCAATTTTGATAAATGGGGTACTGCCCTTAAAAAAGAAAAAGACAAAAGGTATCCCTATTCGATACGTAGTCGTGACTATCTTTATCCTTTCAGAATACCGCTTGTGGCTTATTGGCCAGATTTAATGATTATCATTTATCAATTTATTAATAAACAGAAAAACGACTAGATTTATCAGAACATGGATGTCCCTCTCATGCTCCTATTATTATAATGTAAAGTTCTTCTCCTCTGCTTTTGTTATTATTTCACCAACATCTTCCCTTCTTCCTGTCTTCCACCGGATCGTCCTCTGTTTTCGCTCCTGTTTCTTCTTCTTCTTCTTCTTCTTCTTCTTCTTCTTCTTCTTCTTCTTTCTTCTTGTTTTTGTTACTGTTTCAGTTTCTATATTTGCTCTCCTTCGCGCAGTGTTAAGACTCTCGCACGTTAGCATCAAGATGGCTCAACGCACTTCAGGTGCCCAGCTATGAATTTTGATTCTTGATTTGGTTGTGGTTCGAATTCATTTCTATTAAAAAATCCAACCTTCTTGTTGTTTCTTTTCTTTTTTTAATTCGAGATTTGTTATCTGAGACAAACCGGTAGCATGATTGTTTATCTCTGTCTCTTTGCCTTTCATTTTGACCTCCCCTGTTTATTTACTCCTCTTTTTTCCTGATTGGTATTTTATTCTTGTTCCCTTAAAATATACAAGAAACAATCTTGGAAATTGAATCTGTTGGAGATGTGGGTTTCTCTTTGCTTTCCGGATCAACTTATCCAAAGAATAAAACAGGAAAGGATAAGAGAAAAAGGGAAAGAATAAATGTTTTAATGACATATCCTGGAAGAACTCGGAGCTAGTTAGATTGGCAGAGTGGATTTGAGTATTTATCTGAACTTGTATACATAGTAGATTTTAATAAATCTGGTCTTTTCAACTGCAAGATGATGCAGGTTTGTTGCAGCTGGTCTACTGACTACCCGGAGTGTTGCTCTGGGTTCAAAAGTTTTAAGTCAGGGGATTAGTGAGAAGATATAAGCTGTAAATAAGTGAAAACAATGGTTTATCTCCGACTTGCCGGGTTTCAATCTGGTTTCTCTTGGAATCTCCTCACCACCCTCTAAGTGATTGACCGCATTCAGTATTCCTTTTGTAACAAATTGGTCTAGTTGTGTTTTTCTTGATGTTAACTGACCTATCTTTTTACATTGTTGAGGTCATACGAACTTGTACTGTAAATCGCCTACGCTTCCGTTAGTAAAGAAATATATTTCCTAGCTTTGCTTTTGCTATCTCATATGAAAAATGGTAGTGTATTCTGTCAAGCTCGGATGCTGTAACTCAACTTGTCTGGAATAGATTTTAAGATTTTGGGTGCATTGGTCTGGTGCCTGATCTAGAATATAGTGTTTTCTTTTCTGAGTAGGATGGAGTACTGTTTTCCATCTATTCTGCAGCATAATATCTATTGAAGCTCCAAAGCCTTCCCTGTTAATAATGGGATTAAATCATTTGGAAATAAGTTCTTGCTGACTTTGGGGTAATTGTTTTTGTGTAGATGCATCTAAATCTCTTCCTGCTGATAAAAGAGGGGGGACCCAAGGAAATAACTCACTCGTTGTTTGTTTTGGGGAGATGTTGATAGATTTTGTTCCAACTGTTAATGGAGTTTCACTTGCAGAAGCACCTACATTTAAGAAAGTTCCAGGTGGGGCTCCAGCTAATGTTGCTGTTGGGATATCAAGACTGGGAGGATCATCAGCTTTTATTGGCAAGGTTCATTTGATCATCTCTGCAGTCAGGACCAGGACTTCTTTCATCTTTATTTTATGCTACGCACAAGCTATCATATTATTTTCTTTTTTTCTTTTAGATTCATTCCAGAAACTCTGGTATTTTGCCATTTATGGAGCCAGTTGCAGAACTTAATTTTGACACTTGTGTAACAGGTAGGTGATGATGAGTTTGGGCACATGTTAGCTGACATTTTGAAGCAAAATAATGTCAACATTTCTGGCGTGCGGTTTGATTCTGGTGCACGGACTGCTCTAGCATTTGTTACACTTAGAGCTGATGGCGAGCGAGAATTTTTGTTTTTCCGCCATCCAAGTGCAGATATGCTTCTTCGTGAGTCAGAACTTGATGTGGGCCTTATTAAGAAGGTAATTAGAGTTGGTGGTCTCTTATTTATTATGTGGATATGGAACTTCTTTTTCTTCTTTCAATGGTGAAACATGATAAAATGTTACTGATCCAAAAAAAAATGAAACATGATAAAATGTTGTTAATGATTTAAACCTCAAAACTGTTATTAATATACAGAAAATTCTTCTTTGTCTCTTTATATCTGAACAAATGCAAATGCAGGCAACTATCTTTCATTATGGCTCAATTAGTTTGATTGAGGAACCATGTCGTTCAACACATCTTTCTGCAATGAACATTGCAAAAAGGTCCGGTAGCATCCTCTCTTATGATCCAAATTTGAGATTGCCACTATGGCCATCAGCGGAGGCTGCTAGGCAGGGCATAATGAGTATATGGGACCAAGCAGACATCATCAAGGTATAACTTCTAAAAGTATGACATTTAACATTGAAATGGAAAATATATATTTTTTTTGAAGAAAAGGTAAAGTATTGATTGTATTCATTTAAAAAAAGGCCATGTACATAAAATCTTTACAAGTTAGAATTTTGATCACTCCTGCCCTGCCAGCCTTACAAAAACAAAATGGCAGGGTCCAAATAATTTGATGGGCAACTCCTTTGAATTGCTCTGTTGCAGCCAACCAGGAATGGATAGTGCCCAGAATCTTCCTGATTTGATCTTCCAAGGAGTTACTCCTATTCTGAAATACTCTCTGATTCCTCTCCCTCCAAATACACCAAGACAATACAGCTGGCATAGAGCTCCACAATTTTCTACCCTTCTCTCATTCAAGCCTTTCCCTTTGATCATATATTTAAAATAAATGGTCATATTTTTAAAATAAGTGTAAAATAATTTTCAATGAAAAGAAATCATTAATCCTATATTTAAATAAGAGCTGAATCATCTTTTGAACTATTTGCAGATAAGCGAGGAAGAAATCTCATTCTTGACGGGAGGTGATGATCCTTATGATGATAATGTGGTGTTAAAGAAGCTTTTCCGTCCTAATCTTAAACTTTTGCTTGTAACTGAAGGGCAAAAAGGATGCAGGTATTACACCAAGGTAAGCATATGGCTTTTCTTGGCTAGGATTTTAAATATTAACTGGAAGCCCTCCTTGAAAAATAATCCTTTTTTACCTACATTTTGATGTTATGGAATAGGTCCATGAAGGTGAAGTTTCTTAATGGTTCCTAAATCCTAAGCATGTTGTATTTGTATGTGCATTTACCAGACTGTATTTAACGAGGAATGCAGACTGGTTTAAACATGATTTCTCAAAGAATATTCACAGGAAAAAAACTCATCGGCTATCTGGATTCTCTTTGATTAAGAGCCATAAAGCATCCTTCTTATGCCTCAAAAGCATCATAAAGAAATCCAGTACTTTTTTCTGTTGCTTCAGGAGTATCAAATTGAAAAAATTGCACTTCGTGTTGGTACTTGTTAATGGCACCTAATTATGAAACACTAATTCACTAAATGTATCCTTAGATTGAGAACTTTTGGATCCTGCAGGAGTTGTGATTGTGTTTGGCAAACCACTGGATTTCCCTTGAATTAATTCACTATAGCATTATTTATCATTTACCTTCTCTTTGTAATTAACCCATATTGCAGGAATTTAAGGGTAAGGTTGGTGGTGTTAAAGTTAAATCCATTGACACAACTGGTGCTGGTGATGCATTTGTCAGTGGGATACTGAGCAGTTTGGCATCTGACCTAAATCTGTATAAGGTACCTTTTCTCTCCTTGCATAAATCATTGGTGTCTGTCTATTGTTTATGTTGCTCATTAAGATTAGCGTTTTATCATACAGTAGTAGACTAGTAGTTAGCAAAATCTAGTACAATTCTTAGTTCTCCATTCTCTTTTCCGTTCCTGTTTCTACTGCCACTTTTCATATTGTTTGACTCTGCTTTTTTTAGTATGTTTCAGTATTGATCATTTTCTTTAGGGATTTTCATTTCATGAGTTTATTCCAAATGGTCTGTTTGTGACTGATTTAGATATTGGCATTATAATCTGCCAGTAATCCCCAAAAGTATTTGTTCCTTGAGCTTGCCTCGTTACCTTGCCACAAAATGAATGTTTTTTCTTTCTTTTGTAATTGTTGCATATGACTTTTCACCATTTTCTTCATTGGTGCTAAAATAACTTATGTTGTCTACTTGCTTGATTTCTGGACCTTATAAATATTTTATTTTTGGGTATCAGTCTCAAAGATGTCAGCTAGCTAACTTGGTAAAATGCATGCACATTGTTTCTGCAGACTTGTTGACAGAAAATAGGTGGGGTTATAGCTGAGTTGTATTGATTTGATTTGAGTTGTTTTGTTGATTCCAGACCTTAGTCCTATATTAATCTTATAGGCCCGCCTTGCTTACAAACTAAAATAAATTAATGATTAATCAAAAGGAATAGGAGATTTATGATTTTATTCCATTTAAAGAAGATGATTTTGAAGTTCCACAAGTTGGAATGATGATTTTAAGTGGACATTTTAATGGATGAGACATTCTATTAGGCTTGACTTAAAATGTTTCACAAAGGAAAAGGTCCATGGGTTGGAAATCATCCAGTTGTTTGATCAATTGTACTCAAGGATAAAAATTTGTGTTATTATGAACAGAGAATACATAATATGCTGCATTATAAGATGTAAGGTTGCTGCAACATGATGTTCTTAGAAAGAGCCAGGAATTCTCCTTGGAGGTGTGCAAAACAAATGCAGTGGAAGCATTTTTCTTTAATTGTGCTCTGTCTACTTGAGAGAAGGCAATGATGGATATGGCCTTTTAAGAGCACTAAATTTACATACGAGTATTTCATATACCCTACATTTACTTAATGAAAGCCTGTGTAGCCTCTTTGAACTTACTCAGTGCAAATTTCCAAGCCATGATGATAACATCTCCCATCTCCCATGATGGCATAATGATGAAGTAATGATGCCTGGACATGGATGACATGGACACAAATTTGGGAAACAGGGAGATGAAAGATGACATTATTTCCTAAGATTTTGGAGACAAATATGGGTGTAGGTACCCATTTATCATGCTTATATATCTAGTTTTTGAAACTAAGTGACATATCTGAATATGTATATCTTGCTAAATTTAATTAAGCTTCTAACATATACATATTAATTTGTTCAAACATATCATTTCACATGTTCTAAAAGTGTTATAACACCATAAAATATATTGTAGAAGTGTCCATGCAGTGTCTATTGTCATATTGGGTACAAACTATGTCCAACACTGGTATGCTGAGCATGTACAGGTGTCCAGGTATCATAGTGAAGAAGTGGATCATTTTTACTGCTCTCATACCAAATGATGTAGGGTTGACTACTCTGAAGGAAGTTACCCAATGTTGGTCCCGTCCATCTGGGGTCTTGGAAGGGGTGGACTTGATATGGTCCTAACCTTTGGCAATTCGTTTTTAGGCTCATACCCATGTTTTCACATTTGTTGCCCTGAGATTTTACTATTACACCAAGCAATAGCCCCTGAAGGGTTGACCACTCTCATACCAATTAATGTGTGACTAATATGATCTAAGGAACTTATAAAAAAAAAATGATCTAAGGCTAAAGTTTGTAGCAAAATTCCGGGGGAAAGCTGAAAAAAAATTGATGTTTTTGAGAGTTTAGGTCCAAGGTTCAGGGTTATGATATTTGATTAAGGAGATTTATCTAGGGTTATAGGGTTATGATATTTGATTAAAAAGCTATTCTAGGGTTGAAACTCATATAATATGCAGAAATTTCTAAAAAAAAAAAATTCTAAGGAGGTGGATTGAATATGGAAGAGTTCTAAGATGGTTTGGTACGAAAAGATGATATTCCTAGAATTGGTAACTTTTGGAAACTGCAGTTTTTAGTTGGGTTTTTTGAAATTTGGTTTAATGTGATAATAGGGGCTTAAATATAGGGGTGGCTTAATCAAACTTGGGATTCACCAGGGTTTTATAGGGATTATTTAGAGAAATTATTTGAAGTGTGTAAGGTTAAAATTTGGAGGAAATTGAAAAGAGATGCATATATACCAAGTTGGAAGACATACTTGCTGGTCTTTCTTGGATGGACATGCATGTGCACCAAGTTTCTATTCATCTTCATCACCATATCTAGAACCAGTGGTCTCTTGCCAGAAAAAAAAATGAAAAAAAAAGAACCAGTAGTCTATGTTAATTACTTTTAATAAGCCAAGCCTATGTTTCTGGCATCTGCATACACTATGTGTATTCATGCACGGATGCCCCTGTGACACTTGAGAGTAGGAGAGAGGATATCTGTAGTTTCTAAATCTGAGAAGGTGAAAGGCCTAGATCATGTAGATAAATAAATGAAATTATAGTGTTACAGAAGAGTCTGCAGTCACCTTCTAAGGTTAAAAATTCACATGGTCTTAACTGATACATTTATTATGTGCTTAAGATGCTTTGTGTTTTTCCGCAGGATGAGAAGCGGTTAAGGGAAGCTATTTTATTTGCAAATGCCTGTGGTGCCCTCACGGTTACAGAAAGAGGAGCAATTCCTGCCATGCCCACAAGACAAGCAGTCCTTCAAATCTTGTCCACATAAGATGCATGATCAGAAAGCATCATCCCTCATGTGAATTGTATCCAACTAATGTTGTTTGAGTTTCCCTTTCCAAGGCTTGATCTCTGTTCCTGCCTTGCCCACAAGAGATGCACTCCTTCAAATCTTGCCCAAGCTAGATGCATGATCAGAAAGCATCATCCCTCCTTTAAATTTGTTGTATCCAACTAATGCAGCTTGAGATTCCTTTCTAAGGAGTGATATCTGTTCTTCATTTGGTTCTTTTTTCAGTCCCAGTTTGTCACTTAAGCAAATTGGTACGGCCATTGATTTTATCATTTTTACTTGCAGTGAAGCATGCTAAATAAATTGAGGTAGCAGGATTAGAAGGGGGAAAATGCAGTTCACCTCGCTTCTGAGAGTGTATTTAAACCAATTACTTACACATCTGATCTTCTTGGTAGATCAGCCATTTAAATCATCCCATGGTAGATATCCCATCTTAACAAGCGCAGAAGTCAATTATTGGACCTCTCTTGCTTCAAAGGCATTGAAAAATAAAATGTAGTACAAATGAAGAAGTAATGCTCTGCTGCCATGTTGAATCAACCTTTTTTTTTCTTGTTCGTTTGAAAATTCAATGCTTATATTTGCAGAGAAGATAGAATCTTCTCTTCCCTGCATATCCTGAGAGTCTCCTTTTCTTTAAAGGTTGTTCAGAGAAAGTTACTCCAAAAATTGGATCCATGCATATACCTGAGATAGAAAAACCCAAGGTTCAATGTATCGTTACGTATCGGCCTGTATCGGCTGATATGTATCGTTTTCGGGACCCTTCCAATATGCCCCTACAGTAGGTGTATCGGGGGTCTGACCAGTTCAGGGGATGGAGGGGTCCTAGACCGGCTCCCCTGAACCAGTTTTGAAAAATAAAAGAAAAAAAAAGTAGAAAAACGAGTATCGAAACGCCTGATACACCCCTACCAATGTATTGGGTATTGATATTTTGAACCTTGGAAAAACCACACTCCGATGGGGAAGATGAATCACACTGGTCCATTGCTCTTGGAGGATCTTTCTTGAAGTTTTCCATAGCATTTGAACTCGTTGGACAAGTGGGGTAATTTCAACAATATAATACAACCCCACACTGTGATAGGAATCAATCAGCATCCTTGAAGACTTATTCTAGACAGAAGGCCTTACAACAGGTCCTGATATCGCATAGTGATGATACTTGGGATTTGGACTGAATTGAACACTAAGGGTATTTTTGCCATTTTATAATTTTTCTGTAGGGTCTAATATTAGAGCTTGATTGTCTAGTTATAGTTTGTTTATTAGCGGGGGGACCCATGCATTGCACAGGATTTGTTAAGCAAAAGCTAAACAATAGAAACACGTAAGATTATACAATTGTCTTATATTTTTAACTTTTTAAATAATTAATAATTATTTATATTTTTTATTTGACTATGATATGGAAAAGATATGATATCTAAAATTTTTTGACCAATCAATTGGTATCATAAGTGTGGTAGCTAATTAGGTGTTATTTATCAAAATTCATGGGTGGATGTTGATTGGTCAAAACTCTTCCGATACCATATCTTTCCTTTATCATAGATTTTCCCTTATATTTTATATACTACTTTTAATAATTTTTTTACAATACAAAAATAACAATAATTAAGTTCAACTAAGATTGTTTATCAAACTAATGAAACTGACCAACCCGACCAATTTGACCTGATTTGGTTGATTTCTAGTACTTCTGATCAGCTTTGGTTCAATTGTTTGAGTCAACGATTGTTTGAAAACTAGGGGTGAGCATTATTCGGTTAAAACTGAAAAAACCGAATCGAAAATTTTGGTTTTGATTATTTCAATTCGGTTTTTTTAGTTTTTGGTTATTTTGGTTTGGTTTTTTCTGTTATATAAAACTTCGGTTTCTTTTTCTGTTTTCAGGTTTAGAAACTTGGTTAACAAAAAAAAATGAATTAGCCGAACTTTATTATCTATAACATATATATATATATATTAACATATAATACATATATAATATGTATAAAATATATTATATTGTATTACATTATATATATATATATATTAAAATATATAATTTATTATATACATTGTATAATATATATAATATATAAACCGAATAAAAAATTCTGGTTTTGGTTTTGACTTTTCATTTAAAATTTTGATTTATTCGATTCATTTTTTAACCGAATAAAAACATTGGTTTCCTTTATTTAGGTGCAAACCTCAACGACTTTGTTATTTTATGAATTGGTGTTTCTTTTGTGTCACCACTTAATTGTGTTGAAGGTAGTTGAAAGGAAACGATAAAAAACAAGGAGAATCTAAATATGGGTATTTTAGTAAATTCAAGATACTGACAATGTGGACTCTTGTTCGAGCTTACGTAGGTAAGTTTGGTTCCAATGTTCATGTGTGATATAGGTTACCGAGGTAAAGGGAGAAACGGGGGTTGGGGGGTGGCATTATTTTAGTACGGGTAAGTTGCTTACCCACCCTCTAGGAGGGTATCAATTACCTAAGTAACTAATACTCTCCAAATTGTCGCTTATTATCCAATATTGTGATGAATGAATGCGGGGACCGTGGTCAATTACTTGGTTTATAACTTACCCCTGGTAAAATACCAGCACACGAAATGGGCCATGAGACTAAGTGTCAGTGATTGAAACATGAGCAAAGCAAATTTAGGGTCTGTTTGGTTTGCAAACAGGATCAGAATTAGAATCACCTATTTTCTGAATATATAATTATTATTTTAATAATACTTTGTTATTATTATTTTATTAGTATTTATCATTATTTCATGAATTTTTAATGAATATATTAATATTTCATTATTATTTTAATAATAATATTATTATTATTTTTTATTAGTTTATTAATATTCTTTTATTTTTTATTATTTTAAAATTTATTTATTATTATTTAATAATTAATATGTTAGTATTCTATCATTACTTTAACTATACTATACAAATATTTCATTTGTACTTAATTATTATTATTTAATAAATAATATCTTTGCTTATTATTAATTTATTAATATTTTATTATTGTACTATTACTTTATTGATATTTCATTATTGTTTTAATTATTGATATTATTATTATCTTATTATTACTTTAATAGTATTTTATTAGTATTTTTTATTTAAATATCATTTCATTAATTGTTTATTAATATTGTATTGTTATTATTATTTCATTACTTTAATTATATTATATTAATATTTTATTTATACTTTATTATTATTATTATATTTAGTAATTAATATATTTATTTGTTATTACTAATTTATTAAAATTTTATTATATTTTTATTATTATTTTATTACTATTTTACTAATATTTTGTTAATAATTTATTATTTTAATAATAATAATAATATTATCTTATTATTAATTTAATAATATTTTATTATATTATTTTGATTTTTTTCATGAGTTATTTACTTCTTGAGAGAGTATGGTGAAAATCTCATTCCCTATGGTAGCCTAGAATGGCCATTCCCCCAAATGGGATGGGGGGATCCCATTTCCCAAAGAATGGGAATCGGAATCCCACTCCGACCCAAACGGACCTTTATGCTTATACTGCTGCTAGACAGAATTTATGAATCATGACTTATGAGTACGAACGAAACACACGTCGGCTATGAGAGACAGAAAAGAAAGGCAGAATCAGGGTGTAGGAGTAGGACCGGCCGTATTCAGGATCCAGTGAGGCATTCGACAATCATACTGACAAGTGACAGCCCAAACAAGACCCAAAAGGAGGGAAAAACGGACGGACGATTTTATCCGAAAATTGACATTCCCATATGAATGATCGAATCAGAATCGAGATATCGATGGCGACGAAATGGAGTAGGGAATGATCCCATCTGGAGTTCAATTTCAGTTCCATTTCCAAGCCCAATGGCCACGAATCCCTCTCTCCTTCCCGAAATCGGACCCGATGGCCTCCCCCGAGAAGCCCCTGTCATTGCCTACACCGAGAAGGTCTGTTTCATTCATTCATTCTTTTTCTCTCTCAATTTGTTTAATTAGTCCGATGTCTTTTGACTTAGCAATTCTGTAAACTCTTTTTCTTCAGATAATTGAAGAGGAGCAGCTTCAATTGAAAAAGTATGGATGCTTTTCCTATCTCTGCCTTTTATTTTTATTTATTTTTACCCTTTTTGGCGTCGTTAAGTTTGTTCTCTTCTTACTCTCGCCTTCCTATCTTTTGATCCATACATATTTCTGTTTTTCTTGGATTCTGCCTTCTGTTCCGTTTAACTGAACCAATCTTATTTCTTTAGTGTCCTGCAAATAATGCTGTTTTTCATTCTTGGATGTTAGTGGGAACCGTATGGATTAAAACAATGGAGTTCTTGTGGCAGATTGGTCTTTGGCAATTTCTTTTTCTCCTCGACCTGAAAGATTTGTTTAGCTAATTTTAATGAGAAGTGCATTCTATAACACTTCAAATGTGGTTTCTAGTTTCCTGTTAACATGAATCAGCAATGTGCCCGATGCCAATGCCATACCTATATGCTGGAGATTGTGTGTTCTCATGTTAACCATTATGTATCTATAATTACTTCAATAGAGAATTTAATTTCCAAATAACGGTGGGAAGTAAAACTACAACTGCATCTGTTCTTTCAAATAAAAGAGCGGATTGCAGGTCAGGTGTCACTGCATTTCTCAATTATATATGGAAGGTATAGATTCATTAATTGTTGAAAACCAAAATTTGATTTAAAGCTTCAGAGTTTCTGATAGAAACATATCAATTTCTTGGTTGATTGGTTCGTGAAACAAGGTGTAAGCGGAAGTCACTTATATTAGGGACTAACTAGTTTCCCAATAAGGGGAATTATAACTGTGTACAGATGAGGATAGCTAAGGCTAGCAGCTAAAAGGGATGCTGGGCAATTGTTACTGTTTAAAAATTTAATAAAGTATCTCATTCTTTTTAAAAATTTAATAAGGCTATTTAATTATTACTGTTTTAAAAAAGAAGAAATATGCGAAGCATCCTAGACCCATCATGGATAAAGGCATCTACTCAAACTCATGGACCAGTTTTTTTTCCCAACTGAAAGAAAATGAACTAACCCATGGTAAGTCTAAGAGCACCAAGGCTGTGATGAACAGATCCAGAAAAATAGATATTATTCCTTGAAATCCCACAGGAACGATGTAGATTTAACATTTCAGAATTTTCACTCAAATGCTTTATATAGGAACTAGAAGAATCTTGATGCTTGTACATGAGTGCCATGTTGTGTTGGACAGTTCAATTTATCATTTGATTTGGTCTATGGTTTAAGCAGGATTTGAATTCATGCCATAATCAAATTTAATTTACTGGCTGCTTCTGTTTTGAGATGTCATAGATTTCCTTGAATCTTGATCCCTGAACCAGCACTTTCCTTTTCTTTAATTTTTGCTCTGAAATTTCAGCACTGATGCTGACCAAAGACTATTCTTAACTCCAGAATTTGGTAGTTGTGCTACTATGTTAACTTTATTGGAATTTGGTAGTTGAACACTTCTCTTTGTGGTGTTATATAACATTACCTGTTTCAAAAAAAAAAAAAAAGAAAAAGCAACACGAGCATAACAACAAAAGCAACCCATATCTCTCTTTTTTCTGTCAGTTTTGGTTTGCATGAATTTCATGCAATTATGTATACTTGAAACATATCCAACCCCAAGGCTAGGGATTTAAATAGGTCAGGTCCAGGTAGAACCAGTCCCGAACTGATTATTAATTAGGACAAAATCATAGGCCCAGAACCGTCCCAGTTAATAGTCAGGTCTATTCAGTCATGACCTGATATACCCGATTATACTGAAAACTATATTTATTTATTTAAATAATAACTTGAAATTTAAACATTGATAATATAACCTTAATAAAAAGGGAAATTTATGGTGTTATCCCCTTCACAAATTTTTATTGGTTTTCTGAATGTATTGTTCCAAACCCCCACCTATGCTACAGTACCCCCTTGTATTGTGATAGATTCCCCCATCTTTCACTGTTCCCCACTGTACAACCCTATAAAAATTTATGAGGTGGAGGAATCTCTAAAAACCCCTAATAAAAAATGATAGAAAAATACTAAATTATTTATATGTTAATAAATTAAACATTTTTAACTAATATGATCTTGTTTATTATCTATCAAATTTACCATTTCAAACATAAAATATGATAAAAATTATAAGAAAATTAAGAAAATACTATATATATATATTTAATAAAATAATTGGTTCTGGGTCTGAATTGGTTCGGGACAGGCAAGAACCAGAAAATATTATTTGATTCTTTTTAGATCAAGGTATTTAAGCTAACTAATCTGTGATGTCCATTTGTAGCTTTTGTGTTCTTGATTATCTTCATGGCTATAATCTTTTATTGGTATTTATGCGAAGCTTTTATTAATTGCTATTTTGATTACAGATTTGCCATGCATTTTTATCCTTACTATTATGAATAAATATACTGTTGTGTTCTAATGAGTTCTAATACTACCTTGAATTGGTTAGGTATATTGAAGAAAATTATTCTAAAATCCGTGATGTTGAACAAGATCTAGCAAATCTTATGTTGGAGTTGAAACTCACGGCTGGGCCTAAGAAAGCAGGTTGGTAAAGCCATACTAGTTTCATTATATCTTGACATATATTATGGATTTTAATATGTATAACTAAGTATTCTTTCCCCTATCTATTTGTATTGCATGCAATTAAGCGCTTGAACTCCTTCGAAAGAAAATAGAGATGTCAACTGAGAGAATCCGTGTTGCTAGAACGAAGGAAGAACAAGCACGTAAGGTTTGTCTCAATTGCTTTGGTTAAGTAAACTTTGCCTACTAAAGATTAACTGTTTATCTCCCAAATTTGAAATAGTATTACACATCTTAGTAAACATTTCTCTTTGACCATATCCTATAAGGCTATAACATATTGGATATGAGAAATTTGTTGAGCATTGTGCTTCAAAGGTCAAAAGTTTGTCCTTAAAATAATAAATAATCACAAGTAGAAATTGCATTAGTACATGTAGTACCCTAGATTGCTATATGTTCTTTGATATTTATGATGTTCATTTATCAGTAACTGAATAAAATTTTATTAATAGAAAACAGCAATATTACAAAGCATTAAAGCCCCATTTGTTTTACTTACATGGGTAAGTGCACTTACTCAGGCAAGTGTTTCTCAGGTAAAACTTGCCTAGGTAAGCATGCTTCTAGTGTTCTTTTACACTATAAATTTGCCCAAGTAGGCGGAGGGTAATAGTTACCTCGGTAAATGATACACTTGGGAATATTTCTTTACTGTGGGTAAGTTGGTCAACTTTCTTCTGACGAACTTACCCGCCCCTATGTACAGGAAAATGAATAAGGCCTAAAGGTAATCCTTGGGTAGGGTAACAATTACTACCCTAACCTTACAGAAACAAAACAGTTTACAAGCAAGCCCAAAAAGAGTGAGATTCATTTTAACCCTTTGCTTGGCTAGATCATCAGCCCAAAAAGAGTGAGTTGGTCAACTTTCCTCTGACCAACTTACCCGTCCCTATTTACCGGAAAATGAATAAGGCCTAAAGGCAATCCTTGGGTAGGGTAACAATTACTACCCTAACCTTACAGAAACAAAACAGTTTACAAGCAAGCCCAAAAAGAGTGAGATTCATTTTAACCCTTTGCTTGGCTAGATCATCAGCCAACCCATTTAGCAGATATTTGTAACCATTGTATCTTTACATTCATGTTTCTTGCAATCATTTAATCTGCTTAAGTTCATTTCTATAGCCCCGTAAGTAAAATATTTCAGGTTATAGGAGAAAAGAAGAAGAAGAAGAAGAAGAAGAAGAAGAAGAAGAAGAAGAAGAAGAAGAAGAAGAAGAAGAAGAAGGGAGAAAGAAGGAGGAGTCTCTGAAACACTCCCTTATTTGACAACAGTCCACCATTAGTAGCATAGAGCTTATGGTTGAGGTCTATAGGGGAAGAAGAAGAAGAAGAAGAAGAAGAAGAAGAAGAAGGAGGAGGAGGAGGAGGAGGAGGAGGAGGAGGAGGAGGAGTCTTTGAAACACTCCCTTATTAGACAATAGTCCACCATTAGTAGCATATAGCTTATGGTTGAGGTCTATAGGGGAAGAAGAAGAAGAAGAAGAAGAAGAAGAAGAAGAAGGAGGAGGAGGAGGAGGAGGAGTCTCTGAAACACTCCCTTATTAGACCTCAACTATAACCATAATGTCATCAACATAAACAATCAGAAAAGTCACCAAGGAGTTACTTCTTTTCAGAAACAAAGTATGGTCAGATTGAGTTTGTGTGTAACCAAAGGAGACAAGGGCAACTCTAAATCTCTCAAACCATGCTCGAGGAGACTGTTTGAAATCATAAATGGATTTCTGCAGTTTACACACCTTTCCTTTCATTTTCTTTCCTTGCACCCCTGGAGGCAAAGACATATAGACCTCTTTATGTAGGTCTCCATTCAAGAAGATTTTTAATATCAAACTAGTGGAGGGGCTAATCAAAAGTAGCAACTAGAGACAACAAAACTCGAATTGAAATCATCTTAGCCACATAAGCAAAAGTCTCAAGGTAATCAATAGATTCAATACCATACATCTAAGTGTAGCTTTTAGCAACCAATCTAGCCTTAAATCTCTCAATAGTGCCATCGGAATGATACTTAATAGTGAACACCCTGTTTACAACCCACTAGTTCATTCCCTTCAAGCCAATCCATAATATCCCAGGTATGGTTCTTATGCAAAGCATCTAGTTCAGTCATCATAGCATCCCTCCATTCAGGTTTTGATAGGGCTTCTGGTATAGACCTAGGAATCATATGAATAGAAACAAAGGCAAGAAAAGAGTAATAAGTAGGGGAAAGAAAGCTGTAGGACAAGTGTTTGGAGATACAATGTTCTGTACACTTCCGCTTGCCTTTGCGAAGGGCAATAGGAAGGTTAAGGTATGGGAAGGTAGTAGAAGGGTTAGATGAAGGCTGACCTGTTACTTCAAAAGTGATGGGAGGTGGCAGAGGCTCTGTTGAAGGAGTGGAAACAATTTGCCCATGCTTGAATCTTTGTCTTTGGTACCACCTTTGGACAATGGGATGTGAGTGAAAACTAGGAGGGTGATATGGAGGAGTAGGAACATGAGAGGTAGACCCAATGGAAGGAGAAGCAATAGAGGAAGATGGCTCAATAGAAGACTCAAAGGGAATTGGAAGAAGAACAACTAAGGACATAGCATATGGCTCCTCAGAATGCTCCCCCTCAGGAGAAACACCAAAGAAAGGATTAGACTCAGCAAACGTGACATCCCTAGAGACAAAATAGGTGCCACGAACCGGATCAAAACAATAATATCTCTTTTGTGGGGAGGCATATCCTAAGAAAACACACTTATGTGCCTTAGGCTCAAATTTATGTCTCTGATGATTATGAACATGTACATACCAAGTGCACCCAAAAACTCGTTGATGAAGAGAAAAGAAATCCTCATTTGAAAAGAGAAGCCTAAATGGAGTTTTGAAATCCAGAACCCGAGAAGGCATATGGTTAATCAAATATGTGGCAGTAAGAACAACATCCCCCCAAAATTTGATAGGAACATGTGATGCAAATAGGAGGCATCTAGCAACCTCAACTACATGGTGGTTCTTCCTTTCTGCCACTCCATTCTGTTCTGGAGTGTAGGAACAAGAACTTTGATGAATAACCACAAAGGTCTCTAAGTATGATGAAATGTTCTTTTCAAAATATTCCTTAGCATTATCAGAGTGGAATATTTTGATCTAGGGGTTAAATTGAGTAAGAATAAGTTCATGAAACTTTTGCACAATGGTTGGAACTTCATCCCGGGATTTCATGAGGTAGATCCAAGTATAACGAGAATAATCTTCAATGAAGAGGATAAAATACTTGTAACCCCTCATAGTAGGATGATGATATGGCCCCCATACATCAGAGTGCACAATATGAAAAGGAGAAATGGATCTTTTATTGCTTACTGAATAAGAATATCTACAATGCTTTGCAAGTTCACATGACTCACAATGAAGACTCGATAAAGACATTCCCTTAAACATATCGGGAAACAAATGGCTCAAAGTAGAAAAAGGAAAATGACCAAACCGTAAATGACATGACTCTATCAAAAGACTTTGACAGAACAGATTATAAGTCTACTCCATTAGGTGGTCCAAGACTCCTATCAAGTGTGTCCAACAAGTATATTCCATTCGCCTCATGGCCACTCCCAATCGTCCTCTGAGATGTTAGGTCCTGAAAAATACAATGGGTAGGAAAAAAGGTTATGCTACAATTTATGGATTTAGTCAAGCCACTAACAGATAAAAGGTTGGTATTAAGTTTGGGGACATGAAGAACAGAGGATAAGATAAGTGTGTTAGAGGACTTGATATCCCCTTTGCTAGAAATTGGAGCAAGAGACCCATCAACAAGGGATATCTTCTCTCTACTAGAGAGGAGTTGATATGAACAAAAGAGGTTAGATAAATTGGTTATATGGTCTGATGCACCAAAATCAATAATTGAAGGGATGATTACTTGAAACAATAGCATGATTTACAAAAGCACATATACCTAAGTGAGCAAATGCGAATGATGAGGTGTTGCCGAAAGGGTTGGATGCTGAGATAGTGGCTTCCAAATGATTCAGTAACCTCCCATACTTTTCAAACTTTGCCTTTACTGCTGCCAACTGCTCCATAGCTGATTTTTCTTCACTTTCCCTATTCTCTCCTTTAGGCACTGTGGCAACATTAACGTTCTTAGGCTTTCTAGTCTGATCATTCTTCTTAAAATTACTGTTATTGCTGTTATTCCGAAACCTGTCTAGGAGTCCTTAGTTTGCACATTCTTCTTAAAATTACTGTTATTGACTAACCACCCAATCACTATGTAGTTTTCCTGCATCCACTTCTCATATGTAGGATTAGTCTTTGCCGGTTTCTCCTTATTGCCCGTGAGAGAAACCCCAATTTACCTCTACTACAGAGATAAGTCTTTATAGATTGTGCCCAGGCTAAATAATTTGTTCCATCTAGTTTGATTGTAGTCACTCCTATCAAAAGGGATTCTACTGGACCAACACCTAACACCGGGATTTGCTTCATCTCACTTCCAAATTGCTCCATTAACTAAACGAAAATCAAAAAACAAGGTTTTCAACCTTTATAGACCTAACTGAGGTCAGTTCAACACATAAAGGTCCCAAAACTAGGGTTTCACTACACTTGACTTCTAGGGAGAAAGAGAGAAGAAGTAGCCGCTCCTACAAGAGCTTCCCAAACCTCTTCTAATTGCAATTGCTCACTTTTGGAGATCAAAAGGAGTCCTCCAAGCCTTGAGCGCCACACCCAAATAGTCTCTTTAACCTGTAACTGGAAACTCTCTAGTCGGCTAGGGTTTTGGGCAAAAAAATCAACAGCCCCACTTTCTTGGCAATCTACAGCTAGATTTTGACTCTCCAAACCCTCTACCAACTAGGCAAAAAAGTTTTCTAAATAATCAAAAACTTATCTCTCCATACACTCTTTTAATCGAAGGGTGTATGGGAAAAGAAAAGAAAACCAAAAGAGGAGAAAGACCTGCTCTGATTCCAAGATGTGATTCAGTCCAATAAAAGAATAGTAAAATATTTCAGGTTATAGGAGAAAAGAAGAAGAAGAAGAAGAAGAAGAAGAAGAAGAAAACAGCAAGAAGAAGAAGAAAAAGATGGAGAAAGGGAGAAAGAAGGAGGAGTTTAATAATCTCCTCTCACCCCTCACTAATTCTTTTATTAATCTTCATTAACTGGGTTAATTACAAGTCTGCCCTTAAGTGGGCAGCCAGCTAAGCAAGAACTTTAAAAGAACTTATAAAAGAGATTAACAGGCCCATAAAGACAGGCCCATTAACAAACAAAACAAATAACATACTACTTAAACATAAAAGCAGATACTAGGGCCCATTCGGCCCAGTCTCTCTACAAAATCTAATCCATGGGTGTTCTAACTCCCAACTTTCTTGAAAATCTCCTTGTGGCATCCTCTTCATTAAAGCTCTAAATTCCTTTTTGGACATTTCCATTACTATGATTTCATTTTCAGACATCCAAAATACCAAGTTATTGGCCAACATCTTCCACACTATTTGAAAATGACTAGGAGAAAGCTCATTGTTCTAAGAACTTCCCAGGTCAGGGGCCAAGAGTTTCTTTTGCATAAAAGTGAGATCATATTTACCAATAATAGATGTTTCTCAATGTCTTACTCATCTAGCTCACTTCAATGTATGTCTAGCACACAATAATAGGTAGGTCTAGAGTCTCCACTCAAGTGGTTGAGATAATCTCATGATTATCATCCATATACCAAGTTACCAACTTTATAAATGAATTGTCCAGGCTCAACTTTAGTTGGAACGTTTCAGGTCTCTAAAGAATTGGGTCATTAGATCTCTAATGTGAAAGTCTCAGTAAAACACCTAATGCCCTACAATCTGAGGACCTTGGTCCCATTATATTGTAACTAATAAACAAATGCCATATAAATATTGAATAAGTCAATCAATTAATGAAATATCATCATTGTCATCATCACCATCAACTACATTATCCTACTTATGTTGGTTACCAAAAACAAGGTGATGCTATTAATATTGTGTTACTATAAAGAAGAAAAAATATGCTCTACTCTTTGATGGGCCAAGTCTGGTGTTTAATGGGCTATGCCTGCTCAAAATTGATATGGGGTCAATCTCAGGCTGTGTTAGGGCTGGACTCGGTGCTAATGTTAAGGTCCATTTCTTAAACGGACTAGAACCAAGCCTGGCCTTGGCCCATGTGCACAACACAAACAATTTATTGAGTACTTGGTATTCGGTAAAGTTACTTAGTGAAAAGCTATGTTTTTTTTGTTTTTTTTTTGTTTTTGTTCAGCAACACAGAAAATCACTCATTAATTACTTGAAATAAAAAGAGGTTAGAACAAGAGGTTGTGAAAATATGAAGAAAACCCATTACATAACACACACCCCCACCACCCTATTACAATTGTGCCCAATACATTTTTTTTTTGAAAGAAGGTAAAGTATGGTATCGTATTAGAGCAAAAGCAAAAAGCAGTCATGTACAAGTTTCTGTACCCAGGGCTGTTTATGAGTTCCCTGTTTAGCCAGACCATCTGCCAGACAATTAGCTAATCTCCTTACCATCTTAGTAAAAAACTATGCTAAAAGGAGAGTCAGCCATAGTTGGCCATACTAGAAGTTCTGCTAGTCCCAACTGAACTTGTATTCTTAGCAACAGATAGGAACTCCATAACAAGGCGCTCTTTTTTTTTAGTTTTCTGCATAAGATGGATAATATGCAACGAAACAGATAATAAAGACAGAAAGCTTTGGGTTTGTTTTTTCAAAGTCCTAAGCCAGTCCACCAGTCCTATAACCCCCCCTTTCCCTGTTGATGAGGTTTGGTGCAGAGCAATCCCTCCTAGGGTTGGTAGTTTTTGTTGGGAAGCCTATCTGGAAAGATTCAACACTGGTGATCTACTCCAAAAGAAGCGACTCAATACTTGCTTGTCACCCCATTGGTGTGTTCTATGTAAAGCGGATGGGGAGACTGGTTTTCACCTACTAGTGTCTTGCCATTTTGCGAGGTCAATTTGGGAATGGGCTTTTTCCCTCTTTGGGTGTAGACGGAACCCTCCATCAGATCTGCAGGGCCTTTTTTCCCCTTYTGTCTTYAGGTGGCGTAGGAAAAGGGGAAGGACTATGTGGAGAGGTTTGAGGGCTGCAGTATGTTGGACAATATGGGAAGAAAGAAACTTCAGGATATTCTCAACGGCTGAGAGAGGGGTGGAAGAACTAAAGGCTATCATTCATTTCAGGGCTGTACAGAGGCTGAAATCTTTGGAACTATTCACAGGTTACACAGTGGATGACATGTTAGGAAGTGGGGTGAAATAGCAAAGTGCACACAGACCAAGTCAGTAATGACTGTGTCTTGGACACCTCCACCTGCTGGGTTCATGAAATTAAATTTTGATGGTAGTAAGGGGGAACCCTGGACAATCAGGGATTGGGGGTGTCTTTAGGGATGAGAATGGGGTCATTTTTGCCTTGTTCTCAGGCCCAATTGGAGTGGGTGACTCCCTTAGAGCTGAGATCTTTGCAGTTATGGAAGGAGTCCAGAAAGCCAAGGAGATGAACATCAGAAAACTCTTAATTGAAGGGGATTCGGAGGTGGTGATAGGGTGGCTGAATGCATACAGTAATCAGAGGAGGAAATTTGCGTGGCTGGTGCGGAGATGGAAGTTAAAATCTGCTGGGTCAAAAGATCAGCCAATTCTCTAAGTGATGGTTTAGCTAAACAAGGGGCAGAAAGGGATTCAATGTTTTGGGCTAAGTTGTAATTTTTGTCTCTACCTATTCTTTTGTTTTCTTGATTGTACTTGGAAGATAAGTGTGTTTGTCTTCCTTATGTAACCTCTTTGGTGAATTAATGAAGTTGTTATTGATCAAAAAAAAAAAAAAGCTTTGGGTTTGTCCTTTACACTTATTTTACTTTGAGTCTACACACACACACTGACACACACAAGTATAGAATTTCGTTAATCAAAAATACTAAGTACAACTAGGAGCTGTACATTGGGATATACAAACGGCCACTATACCAACTACCCTACTATCCCCTGACTTTTTACAAAAGATTACCAAGATCAGGTAAAAGATCTGTGGTTTCTTCTGAAAAGTTTATGAAACATCAACCAATAATGTAACTTTTCCACTATCTTATGCACTACTGAATCTACTGAATTTCTTTTACTATGGAAGATCCTCTCATTCCTTTCTTGCCACAAGACCCAGAAAACAGCTGCTGGCATGATCTCCCATGCAACCCTCCCTCTTTTACTTAAGCCTTCTAGTCTCCATTTCCTCAAGAAATATAAAACTGATTTTAGGCAGCAACCTTTCACCGCGAACAAGCCGATGATTCTGACTCATACTGAGTTTGAAAACTGCAGTCCAGTGGTAGGTTATCCACTGTCTCTGGGCAAGATTCACATAAAACACAACCATCATTTGGGACATTTACACTTCTCCTCATTAAATTATCCCTGGCTAGAATTTTATTCAGATTTGCACTCCATACAAAGAAAGCCACTTCAGATGGTATGTTTTTTGCACCATACTTTACCAGCCAGAAAATCAGACTCTTCTGAATTGGTCAGGAAATTTTAGAAGGAACAAACAGAAAACTGACCTGATTTCTCCCTCATCCACATCCTTCCATCTGCTCTATTATGATCCACCTGTATACTGTATAATCTCTGCATCATCTCCATCCAAGGGCCCACTTCCCAGTCATTTAAATTACTTCTCAGCTGTGGGGTCCGAACAGTGCTTCCCTCTTGAATCTGTGATAATTGGCCACTTTTTCCTCTTTATCCGCAGATATACTGAATAGGGATGGGAAGGACTCCATCAAAGGGCTATCACCACACCCACAATCTGTCCAAAACTTCAATCTCTGTCTATCTCCAACCTCAAACTTTATACTTTTTATAAATTGGTTGTGGTCTTGTTCAATGGCCTTCCATACCAAGCAAACCATTGGCTGATTAACCTCACCTGGATCCCATCCATCATTTCTTGTACCATACTTATTCTCCACAACCATTTGCTCAAAAGAGCTGTGTTAATTTCCTTCAGTTTCCTTACCCTAGGTCCCCTGCCTTTTTAGGTCTACACACTTTTCCCCAATTAACTAGATGAAATTTCCTCTCTTCTTTCCAGCCTGGCTAAAGGAAGTTCCTCATTCTCTTTTCAATATTCACTGCCATGCTAGAGGGAATAGGGTACAGAGAGAGAAGATACACAAGGAGAGAAGAGAGTGCACTGTTATACAAATACATACATACATTAATGTATGTATGTATTGACTACCACTTGCCTGAGTATGAACCTCAAGCTCCTTTTAAGAATCATGGTTTTCTCTTGTTTTTAAGCTGGTATTAGATGTGTCCCCCCCTTCAACCCTTCTGAATTGTCTTGTTGAAAAGCAAGGTTACTTGTCTGGCTTGGAGTCAATAATTTTAAGTTAATCTGGAATTCAATGTATAAATTTTCTAGATTGATTTATGGTTGCATCTTTCCATTCATATCTTTCCTTTGCAGCTGATGTGAAATATTGCTGCTTTATTTATGCATTAAGGCATGGGAAGAGGCATCCAAGGCAGTAAAGGATGAGGAAGCACTAAAACAAAAGCTCTGTGATGATCTAAACCAGCTGGTATATAACCATATTCTCACAATCAGGTTTTGATGAAGGATGTTTTATAAGTCTTGTTGCTACTGTTGCATTGAATAGGTCCAAGAAAGCAGTACCACTCAATTTTCTAGACTGGAGGAACTGAAAAGGCGACTTGAAGCTCTAAATCCAAGCAGGGTATCTACCCGAGTTGCATCATGTATGTTCTATTTCCATTTCCTATAATGTAGTACTATCCATATTCCTATATGTTGAGAAATTAAGCAGTTCTATTATATTGGTAGCCATGCTCTATTTCTATATCTTTATGAGCAAATTGCAAAGTTTTATTATTGATAGTCATGTCACCCTAAAGAAATTATATTTTAGGAAATATGCCATAAATATTCTCAGGAAAACATTATAAACTTAGGCTGTGTTTGGCTTTCTGGTGAATAAGACCTTTTCTCCTCTTTTGGATAGAACAAAGGAGAAAAGTTAGGTTTTTGTTATATGGTAAAACATAACTCCTTATCCACATGGATAGGTAAGTTTTAAGGAGATGAGATCTCCTTTTTCTTGTCCAACAAAAACTCTTTATCTGGGCTGGACCGCTGGAGTTCAAAAAACACGTGCACAAATTCAAACTTTAACAAGATTTAGAAAATTCCCATAATGTACCCTCCAAACACAATATAAATTAATTTTTTATGACCATTTAACACTAATCATTTAAAACAGATGAACTACCTTTTTATAACTTTTTTTTTATGAATAATACCTTTTTATAACTTCAAGTAACCAAATATCCTCAACCTTTTTAAAGAATCTATTTTTCCTACCATTGTTATTTTTCCTTTTTGGGCTTGGAGAAAAGAAAAGTATCGCATTAAATATTAGGGAAAATTCCAGATTAGTACCCTATATTTAGGGGTAGTCTCAGTTTAGTATCCGAACTTCAAAACGTGCTACTGCAGTACCTGAACTCCCAAAAACTGTCAGTTTAGTCCAAAATCGTCAACCAACGTTAAGTGGCATGTGAAAGGACAAAAATGTCCTTTAGGTGTCATAGTTTTCTTTATCTACCACTCCCACATAAACCAACTTAGACAAATCTCATCCAGCTAAAAGGTCCGCATGAGGATTGAGGATGGAAACAAAATGTATAATTTGTATGTAAAATGGATCTCTTTCCATATGAGGATGGAAAGAGATCCCTCCCTAATTGTATTGGGCCTGAGGTAGCTAACAAATATGAACCACTGGCTCCACAACATTCACTCATTCTCATCTTTCACCGAGTTACAAGTTTTTTTGAGCAGATTTTAGTGGTTCTCTTTCTTATCATGAAAATACCTGTTTTTCTCTCAGCTACATTACATATCTTTTAACGGTATTGAGAAGAAACCAGATGAGGCCATTGATTGAAGTTAGGATTGGCTTATCTTTTTATATTTCTGAACTGTGTCTATTTGGTTCAGTCTTAAGGTAGAAGACAATGAACTGTCTTCTTTTGAAGGGTAGTTTTGACATTTTAAAAAATTTTAAGTTGCACATGTCATCACGTGATACAGATAACTGACTGACTGCTAACGACAGGGACTAGGTTGACAGTTTTTGAGAATTTAGGTACTGTAGTGGCATGCTTTGAAGTTTGGGTACTAAGCTGAGACTACCCCTAAAGTACAGGGTACTAATCTGGAATTTTCCCTAAATATTAAGATTCTTATATAACAAGAGGCTGTACACGGAATGTACAATATCTTTCAAGTAAATCTATACCCCAACCCTTGATTATTTACCAAAAAAAAGATTATCAAATACAAAAAAGGAATTAAAGCCCTTATCTTTAAACAATTTATGAATGGCTAACCAAGAAAACATATTTTACCCACCATTATTACCCATCCAAGCCAACTTTATCCATAAGGTGTAAAACCTACTTATCCATATTGGAGATAAGCTATGGATAATTTGTGCTAAACAATCTCAATAGAACTTTAGGTAACTAAGTATTGTTGTGTATTGAGGGGAGTCACCAAAACTGGGGAGCTTGCGCACACATGTAAGACTTGTACACAAGAGTTGGACTCCACCTTTAGCCCAAAATCTTTAGCCTTTAGGTTGTGGGACAATCCTTGTATGTAAGTCCTTTGCATTCCTATCCCTTTGCAGCCCAACAATCTCCCCCTCACATGTGACTCTCCTCCACATTAGGTACTCCGTACCATTATCATATCAACAAGTTTGACATGCTTCAACTGGGATCACTTTGCTCACAACAGTAGGGAGCCAACTATGGGAGCACATTCCCATGGATGGAGTCATCATCGGAGATCAACCACTCTTGCCAATTACTTGACAATGGGGAAACCAGCAAAGCCATGGGAATCATCACATGCATCTGTTAATACTTGTCCCGAGCTGAACCTTTGGCTCTGATACAACTATTATGCATTGAGGGGAGTTGCCAAAACTGGGGAGTTTAAGCATATGCATAGAACTTATACACAAGAGTTGGACACCACCTTTAACCCAAAAGCTTAAGCCATTAGGTTGTTCGCTAGTCCTTGTATACAAGTCCTTGGCATTCTTATCTCTTTCAAAATGTGGAGTCTACACTCACATGTGTGTCTCAACAAATATAAACATGGGTATACATGCAGGCCAAATTGCAACTTACAATCCTAGCAGATAATATATGGGACAGAGGGAAGCTTTAGGGGTTTATCTTTTGTATGGGGAAGTTCCATCATCCATGGTGAGGCAGCTGGTTAGAAAATAAAGTCACAAATTTTATCCCAACTCTGGGCATTCTCTGCCAGATTTTACCAGGTGAGCTAACACTTTAAATTTAGAGTTTTGGTAAATGGTATATGGTATGATTAGTTCATGAACTAAGAAAGTTATAGAAATGGTTGGGGGGAGATGCAAAAGGTTTTATATGAGAGTTTAAAGAGTTGGTTTTGTAATAGAGAAGTTTGGTTGTGGCTGCAAGCTTTTGCAGGAAACATGGAATGCAACTAACAACAGAACACCATTAAAGTTAGAAGAAATAAAGATAAAGTAAAATTAATAGAAAAGTTAGTGGAAGAGGGATACTAGCCAGAGGTATAAAGAGCTAGCCAATCTTAATATATTATATTCTCTTCAATCCAATAATTGGGCAAACCTCTTCAAATTGGGCCTTATTTATTTATAGACCCTGTATAAAGATGTTGACTAGCCTTGCGTTCATTCCTAATTCTACTGTTGAAGACAATTAAAAGGAAAACACCTAATTGCTTCTAGAATCAAGACAAGTTATAGTCTAATATAACAACTCTTCTAAACTAGAACTCCTCTAAAGAGTTGAACAGCCATAATCTGCAACCATGACTAGGCTAAAAGTAAAACGATGAGAAAAGATAATTACAAAATTTCCCCAAACTTCAATTAAGGTGATATTAGATATATCCTAAACCAAATAAATTCTTTTTCAAGGTTTGTCAGCTCGAGGGGTTACTTGCACCTTGTTTAGGGGCAGCTGGGTTGTAGATTTGAGGAAGTCCTCAAAATATTGCCAGGATCAAGGAATTTCCTGGGATATTTTGGAGATATGAGGATATATCCTTCAATATTTCCATTGTTTGGAACTTTAGATTCCCTATAGATGTTGTAGCTCAACTCCATTAAAGTAGAAATATTGGGGATATTTTTGAACCATTTTTTAAGTAGGTAGTAGTTTATATTTGCAATGCTTGAGGAAGTGTGGTAAGACTGGAGAAACATTTTACCCTATCTTTTCTTTGGTCATGGTTTGCGTGCAGCTATAACCAATCACTGATTCAGTCTCACTAGAAATTATTTTTGCTCAAAGTTGTTTCAATTGTCTCTTCATACCCAGCTGAACAAGGCATATTTTCCTTTACTCTCAATCAATTCCTACAGTTCACAGTTTACTTTTCACAGGTGCATCAAGTTTTCCTGAATTTCTCTTAGTTTTTTTTTTTTTTTGAAAACTGAAAATCATTGATTTCTATTTCTTTTTTTTTTCAATATTTTTTTTATGCACCAGAAGCACTAACCAGGCCAGATGGATACCTCTCATTCTGCAGCCCTGGCCATGGACTGTTCCTTTTCTTCTTTGCATCTTTCAATGCTCATTCAAGTGTGTGTTGTGTGTTTGTGTGTGTGTGTGTGTGTGTGTGTTATTTGTGGAAAAGCTAGATTCTAAGGTTTTTTGTTTCTCTTATTTTGCATTTATAGGATGGGAGGTTAGTTCAACCTGCACAAAGTAGTAGAGCACCTCCAGGTGCTTCTTCTTCTTCTTCCAATTCTCTCTCAATGGAATCAGTTGATCAAATAGCCGAAAATGTGCGCAATCAACGAAATGATGGTAATATAGTAGCTCTGAATAGTCAAAATCAACAGACATCTGTTGAGGGAGAAGGTAAAGGAAAGAAGAAAAGTATGGATCCAGGAAGAGGGAAGGGAATTAGGGCTGTGCCTAAAGGGAGAGTATCACCTGGACCTGGATGGACTGGTGCTGGGTTTGATATGGATGGCAGAACTTGAGCAAACGTGCATTTGAGAATCTCTTTTTCTGTGGTTGTGGGATGGGAAAGCCCACTTCCATCATCCTAGCAGGTTTTATATTGAGGCAACTCTCTTTTCTTTTATAAAGGTATTATCTGTCAATGTCTTCTTCCCATTCCTGTTCTTTTTAACCTTTCACAATGAATATAAAATTGGCATTTCTCTTGAACTGCCACTATCAGGACTATGTGTAATTTTCATTAAATAAAAGTTATATTGATTACATCACCACCACCACCACCACTACCACACCAGGTTCTATTTCCTTTTCCAGCTGTTGATATAGGTGATTAAATTGGGCGTACTGGAATTCACAGATTTGTCTTCCAATATACAGAGATCTTATCCATGAAATGCCACCAAAGAGTTTGAACAACATTGAAGAAAGTTCAACTTTGGAGGCTAGAATGTCGCAGACATTGGATGAGGTTTAGTTTTCATCTTCTTGATTTTTACCCGTTGAATGATAAGTCTGAACCTTTGCATGAATTCTTCGTCTTGCTGTAGACTTGCTAAATTGAATATACTGATTCTTTTACCTGATACAAGTAACTTCACTGATTTATGTACCCCTGTCAATGAAATATCATCTTTAGCTATCTTCTAAATTAGGTATCTAAATTCCTACTGAATTGATTGTCATTGTATGTCAAACTAGTTCTTCAATATTTTGATGGCTTTTCTGAAGGCAGTTTTGGTCATCCTTCAATCGCCACTTATAGATGGTTCATAAATGGTTTTGAAGACAACTGGTTACTTTTCTGTAGGTTAAAATTATATATGTTATTTATTACTTGCTTGTTTGGATCCTTGCTGCAACACTTGCCTAGTTTAAAAGTGCTTTTGCTGTGCTTATTTACATGAATTCATTATGATATCTACTTGTTTGCTTATATTTATGAATTCTTATTATATGAAAATGATCATCATCATCTAAATTATTTTACTGAATAATGCTTTTTTATACGCAAAATTCTCTTTTACTGAATAATGGCCTTTATTTTCAATAGAAAATAATAAGAAATTAAAAAATGTAAACGTGTCAACATGGATAATGCTCCACAAATTATAGTTTTTTTTTGGTGGGGGGGTGGGGGGAGGTTAAAAAAAATCAGCTTGTAACGGCTTTTTTGTTGTGCTTTCTCGAGAAGCGGGCAGTTCTTTTCCTTTTGTGAGTAGGATGAATAGAATCTGTATTCCATATAAAAGTATATTATAAAAATGATGACGTGATTCAAATTAACAATAAAATTAGATTGTCAAGTGCCAAGTTAGCAATTATGGGTAACCATGGGCCGGCCGAGTCGGGCTTAAGGGTTATAGCCTAAGCCCGGACCCCTAGTCTGAAATATAAACAAACCCAAGCTGGGATTTGGGCTTATGATATAAAATTTATTTATTTATAATATAACATATAACGTATAATATATATGCGTCTAGGCTAGGCCAGGCTTTAGGCCTGTGAAAAAAAAATATGGTAAATTGGTAATCCAACTTCCCTCTTTATAGAATCGATATGGGACCTATTTTAATTTGCATGTGCAATTATTTAAACAAAATAAATTTGATTGTTCATTTAAGATCCCACATGGACCAATTATAAGATTAAAGGCTTTGCATTAATTATATAAGAATTTGGTTAATCAAGAGAATAAATTATGTCCTCTTATACAAGTTGACTTGTAGACACATACCATAGATCCATTTATAAAAGCAAGAGGCATCAAACTTTAAAGAACATATCAATAGATTTATGCATTCCAAGAATCCAAACATGTAAAATTTATCGAAATATATGAATTTGAGCAAAAGAATCACAAGAAAAATGAACATTTTCTTAAGTTGCACTAAAACCCAGTTCCATCAATACGCTTTAATCAAAGTTCAAAGTACTGCAACATATCAGTGCGTATCTTACGATACATATCAATTTTCAGGGGCACTGATCCGTTGAATACTTAGACAATTTAACATGTTGAAATCTTAATAAACAAGTCTAATTTTACATCTAGAAGGGGAAAAAAAGTACAATTCTGCATCATTGTTTGATTAAACAAGCTGAAAAATTAGGGAGTATCGAAGTGTTTTCATGGTCGATACCCAATATTTGAATATTCTAGTGTGTAACGTTGGTTTGAATATACATGCTATATATATCAATACACACTGATACTCATCTGCCTAGGCTTAGCCATTTGGTAGCTTGAGCCTGGTCTAAGCCTGATCCAGCTTTAACTCAACCCGACCAACTGGATTACATACATAGGCCCAAGTGTAAAAACTTTGGCTTCGGTCAGTGCAACGCCCATTCGAACAGCCTTGCATTTGGGATATTTCTGTACTTATGTATTTTATTTTATGGGAAGATATTCTCATTGCAAGGTTGCAAGAGGCTGTTCGGTGTGAACATGGGCTTGGACTGACCAAAGCTGAACTCAGACAATTACTCTTCTGCCCTACATCCATGGTAAATACCATAAGAGTGCAAATTATAGTGAAAAATGTGAAAAATGGATACTTCAGAATTGTATTCGGTTCAGACTTGCATTACTAATAAACAGGACCATAACTTTTTTTTTTTTTTTGGGGTGTGGGGGTGGGGGGGGGTTCGTGGAGTCCGGATCTCCATTGGTTTCATGCAAAATGAATCGTTACTTCCCGAAGACATGGTTTTTAAAACCGAACCGTTTGAACCAAATGCTCAGTCTGTTCTGACAAAAATAAAATAAAATAACAGTCAAAACTGTTCGAATGGTTTGTACAGTTAACTGCCTGATTCAGTGGTTCACTGATTAAAATCAATGGTTTTGAGGGAAAAATCGGTTTTTGGGGAAAGCAGAACCGGTCACCTGATCGGTTCCCAGTTTTTCTGGTCTGACTGTCCAGTCCAGTCCAGTTTTGAAAACCATGCCTGAAAAGTGCTATTTTACGGTATTGCACTTGTAATGGTTGTTGATAACGAATGCCTTCCAAACGAAACAATGGTGTTAATTGTGGGAAAAGGGCATTCCTTCTACTGGTGAGTCATTTTTCGAGTAAAGGTTTGTTCTCTTGGCTCATAACTTGCAACTCTATATTCTTCAACAGTTTTGATTTATTTTAACCGAAACATCAGGAAATTTTGGAATATAATTCATTTTCTTATTAAATATTAAGGAAAATCTATGATGCTGGAAAGACATCATCTGGGAGAGGCTTTGACCAATCACACTCCCCGTGAATTTTGGTGAAAACCCACCTGATTGGTTTCTGTTTTTGTTATGCTGGTTGATTGGTTGTAAATTGTTTTGGTATCATAGTCGAACCCAAAATATTATTAGTGTAATTTATTAAAACAAATGCTAATATGTGGAAAACACTGGACTATATACTGTGACCACACAACCCCCTTGTATTGGCATGCGTACCAATTTATGACCCTAGGTCCACTTGATGCCCATAAAATGAGAAGCTGAGGACCTGAGGTTTTTCTATATCCTATAATTCTCACAATCTAGCATAACCCTTTTATGAAAAATGAAAAGCATCCTAGCCAATCTATATCCTATAATTTTCACAGGCTAGTATAATTCATTTAGTATACAAAGCATGACCCGATCACCGGGTCAAATGGACCAACTATCTGATTAGCTGAATTAGACCTTTTTGACCTGGTCAATGTTTTTTTGACAAAACACCAAATTTATTAGAATCAGACCTAAAATCATGGTCCGATGATAGTTCAAACAGTTCAATCAGTTCAATCAACATGAATTGAAGACACTGCTTTTTTATACGAAGTAATTTACTAAAAAAGTGTGCGACAGTACAACATTTATTTACAAATCAGGAATATCTCCCCACAAGCATAACAAACAAGTACGGGAGATGTGTTTTATCAACACTCTACAAACACAACCATCAAGCCATGCATTAGGAACATATAAAAAAGGCAGCCCAGTGCAAAAGGTTCCGACCAATGCAAAACTCTAATCACCCGGGAGTAACCCAACCACTGCCCCAACGCCCATCCTCCATGCATTGGGAATATCCGCCCAGGAATTTAACATATATATGGGAGTTCTGGGCTCTCCGATTTCTGACTGGATGATATGCTGTCAGCAAGCTAACACACTGCACACTTTTTGCTGGCAGGAAATTCCACGCTCCCATCCAACCTGTATTGTTATTGTATTTGCGAGTCCCTTGACAGGGATGAAATGGTTGAGAAGTGAATCATGGAAAGGCATGCTTTCGTTGAACAAACTCAAAACACAACCCCGTCGTCAACTCGAATCAACTGAAACTTGCAGTAGACTCAAGACCTAGACTTTCTCTGATACAATTTGTCAAGTCAACCAAATTGGATTCAGCCAGACTACATCGAGACTGAATGCACCAGAACTATTGGGTTCTAAAACATTGGGAGAAGAAACCCTAGCTATTAGCCAAAGTACAATGGTAGCGTGATAATACGTCTGACACACAGTGACACAACCCATTCATTCACATCTATCGCCTGCTCTACGTCTGTTTGTTCCATGGCACGCTGAGTCGTTTCTTTCAAGTACCAACCTGATCTTCTGAACAAAAAACATGGTTTCCTTTAAGGTTAGGTGAGGAGTGAAGAAATATTAAATCAGCCCAACTGTCCAAGTGATTGATTGAACTCTGTGTGAAGAAGTTGGTTGACAAATCTTGAATCCAGTGCCAACATCAGTTAATTTTCTGCTACACCACCCTCCCCAACTGGGGAAGCTCTCGTCTCTGTTGAATAGTAGATAACTAGATTTTCATGGTCTGAATAGGTTGGACCAAAAGTCAATGTCCTCATCTACTTTGCAGTGATTCGGTCTGTAGCCGGATTAAGCATTGTACCTTCTGCATCTCCTGAAAAGCTCTGCAATCCTCCGGCCTGTAATGCCCAGCAAAAGAAATTATGAAAAAAAAAAAAACTCAATATAACTATTACCCTTCCCTGATCTACTTCTGTATTGTCTGTTTTTTTTTTTAAGAAAAATTGATCAATGACCATTCCTGAAATTGCTACCAGGATATGTGTACCTCTAGAATCTTTCTTTTCCAACTAAATTACAACCATTCAACTCTATGTTGACCCAACTGACCCGAATCAATCTGACCCTATTTTATATATAGGATATGGGTCAAGACTCAGGACCCTTCTTTGATGGGTTGGTTAGGAATTAGGATTTAGGACATCAACTGATTAAGTGTTAGTGGGTTTGTTACATAAACTAAAGAGATGTGACCTAATCAAAATGATTAAATTTATCATTTGCCAAGAAAATATCAAATATTTTGAGAAGGCAAACCCAAGGTAATAGACCTGTCAGTTATAATCGGGTCTTATTGGGTCAGCTCCAATAATTGTATTTATATCTAGGCCGCTTATTTTCGGACCTTACAAATTCTGGTCAAGATCGGGTCTACCCAAATCCAATCCAGACTCAACCCATTGATAGACCTTTTCAACCTGCAGACACCATTAATGGTTCTTCTAGTCATATGGGTCCCCACTCTGCCTCCCTCTCAACCAAAGACAGAAAATGAAATTAAAAAGGGCATGAAACACAGACCCACAGCACAGCCTAGATCCTTTTTCCACAAAAGATCAAATAATATAATACAACCCATCATCACATGTGGGTTAAGCCATAATTCTTTTTTTGTTTACATGGTTTGCTTCATTTTGTACATGCATATAAAATATATATTTGTACATAATACATTTGAATTTCCCGCTCAAGCTCTTCTACTACCGACTGCCACATAACATTACAGCGCTATTTTTATTGCTAAGTAAAACCTAAATGAATCTATTAACGCCAAGCTCTCAGTCTTACCCTGGTCTGTCGTCAGTGAAGGTGGGCTTCATCACTCACCTCAGACCGAGAGGATGGGCTGAACTGACAGGTGACCCACTTCCACAGGTCAAGGTAAGATGCATCTCCCACGTACATCAGTCGTCACCTAATGATTCCCTCTTGCTCTGCTTCTGTCTCTGGACTGGACTGGAGGACTTCCTCTCTCTCTCTCTCACATACACACTCTCTCCCTCATCAATTCAATTTTTTTTATAATACTCTTAGTTCACTCATCACTGAGCCTGACATCCATCGAGAGACGTTATTCGATATTTAAACCCCAATTTTTTCAATAGAATAAAAGAATAATTGGGATTGATTCTCTCTGGGGCGCCCTTCTCCTTTTTCCTGCTTTTCAATTTCTCCTTTTGAAGAAGAAACGGATCTCTGAAGTAAGATTCTCGATTCCGTGTCTGTCTCGTTTGGGAGCGATAATCTCTGCCTTTCACGCCTTTCGACAGCAGATATCTTAACCACGTGGCCCGTCGAAAGAATCTTAAAGTTAATGACGTGGCATTGTTATCCACCGTGGAGCGAAAGTGAACACGAGCCAAGCCCAAGAAAGGTGAGGAGCGACGAGACTCGAGAGTAGAAGTAGAAGTGTTCATCTAAAAAAATTTCACGTGGCAATTGGGGCATGGGCCCCACGCGAGCGAACGAGCGGCGAATGGTATCTCCTCACGTGAATGCTCATGTGGGGTGCGTCAGAGGGTGTCGTCCCCACACACACTCCCTCTCTCTCTCACTTCTCATCATTGTGCGGCCGGCCGCTCACGTACGGAGTTTGAGGGGTGGTGTGACGTCATCATGGGGGACGAACTGACAACTAGAAGAGGGCGAAGGAGACAGCAGCGGTTTCATGAACCAGGGAGTCGAGAATATCCCGTTCGATCTCGAATACGATCGACTCCCCTTCCTCGGAAAACGGAAGCACTGTGCGCACGTTAGTGTGGGGCAAGTCCTTGTCGATCAATGCGTCGATGTCTTGGAGTACCTGGCAGTTGGCGCAGGGATAGCTCCTGATCTGAGTCCAGAGTCGATCCAAGAGCTGGGACCCAGTCATGACTGAATACGGTGATGTGCAGTCACCTCCATTGTCGATGCAGATGCAGCTGAGCCATGGCTTCGTGTTCAGCAACGGCCTCAGAACGTCCCCGAGAATCTCGTCCACCAGGTGGAACAACAGTTTTCTGTTCCATCGATGTTTTAACGGACTACCACCACCTCCACCACTTTCACCTCCAAGATGAAGAAGAAGAAGAAAGTTGTTGGGGTTCTCTTTGTCTTGAAGATAAGACTGTTCGAGGTGGTGAAAGATGGACGGATCGAGAGGGTGAGAGGGAGAGAACCATCTTGTGAAAGAAACCAGAGTATCTCTGTCGATTCCCGTACGTTTCAGTATTTTAAATACGTACTCGAATTCGGCATCGCCACCGTTGCTGCTGTCGTTGTTGTTGTTATTGTCGTCTTGATGAACGAGCGACTGCTCCTGCCTGTGGCTCTCGTACGTCAGGCTCGAACCACTAGATAACTGTGAACACCGTTTTGAATCTTGGGCTATTCTGTGTACAACCTGTTTTATGCGTACAAAAAAAAAGCGTAAAAGTAAATTTATTCCTCTTTTAGAGAAAATCGATTTAACGAAAATTAACGTTTAAGCCGAAATGAAATGACAGATACGGTTACCGGTGCCTGTGAAGATGGTTGCTGTGGTTGTTGTTCTTTATTGAATGGAACAAAGGAGGGTACGGTGATATTGACGAAGTCGTTCGATAATGGTGTCTTGTTGTTTTTCTTTTCTGAGACATTTGCTTTGTTTGGTGGTTCTCGAGTTAGCGCTCCCTCTCGCACGTTCCGAATTGTCTCTGTGGCCTGCGGAGGCTTTTTCAGACGTTGAGTGAAGCGTTCAGTACTGCTGCCCTTCTTGCACTTGTTTGCTGTCTGCTGCCGTAAAGGTAGAGGCTTTGGCTTTGGCTTTGACGCAGCAGCAGCAGCATTAGCAGCTTTGGGTGACTGCAGCTGATTATCTGCACATACGCTTGCTGAGGACGATAGTGATGACGACTGCACTGTTGATTGTAGTGGTGGTGGGCATGGTGAAGGCGGTGAGCTGGGGCGGTAAGGTCGGGGAGAGTGTGAGGTTTGATGTTCATGGGTGGGTGAAGATGTGATCATGCCTGCTGATTTGGTGGTCTCCATGAATCGGAGCCGGGGTGAGCATGTTGGTGTTGAGTGCTTGCTCGGGCTCGACTCATCTGCTTGTTTTGTGAGTCGCCTTGTTTTCTTGGATTTGGTAGTGAGAGCGTTTTCTCCTTCGTTGGCTCTGGTTCTTGTGGATGTGGTGTTTATTATATCCAGACCAATCTTTCTACCAACTCTTTCTTTGACTTGCTTCACTATCTGACGAGCGTAGTGCCTGGGACTTCTGTTCTCGTCGTCATGTCGCCATTCTTTTCTCTTCGACTTAGTTGAGTAGGGCGAGCAGGGGACTGAGTCTCTAGAGACTCGACCAATGTAACCAAAATCCTCTGTGGGGAGAAGGTTTTCTTTGTTGATTTGAAGAGAGAGTCTGTGTTCCACGTCTGATCTTCTGGCCGACGATATGCGAGGTGTGTCTGGCAAAGAACGGGTCCCTGCCACCTCAGAGTCTATGAAATTGGTTCTACTTTGAAGTGGTCGCCGAGATCGAATGTCTCTTTTAACCGCTGCACAGGCATTTCTCTCCTGAAGCAGCTGGTGGTGGTAAGGCCTGCCTAGTGAATTCGATCTCACAATATGGGTTGAAGAGGAGAAGGAAGAACAGGGAGAAAAATTATCAGGCAATATGTCAAGACCCATGAGACGAGCTACGAGATTTGGACTTTTGGTCGTCCATGGAGAACTACTGCTCTCTGATGATAATTCCTCCATCCGAGCTTTAGCTGCTGCTCTTCCTCTTACTGTTACCTGTTTTGTCCCGAGTTGAATTCCAATCTGTAAATTATAGAAAGAAAATAAACAACTATTTCAAATCCAATGACGTAAACGTTTCAAAACTAAAAACACAAACTTCGATCAAAAAACAACTTGCACATTTACAGTGTCTACTAGTATATAACTTGCTATTACTTTCTGTTTTTCTTTTTTTTTTTTTTTTGGTGTGCTTTTTTCTTACCGGGATATCCGAGTCTTCTTCTTTCATGATTGATGAGAATGACGCAGAACCCATGAAGGATTCTTCCTCTGATTCCAAGCTGTTCCTTGGTGCTTCTACACCTAAGTTAAACAAAATCCATCATCAAAAATTCAAATTTTCTTCTTCGGTGTGTAGAAAGAGAGAGAGTACCTTTGAGGATAGTGAGGTCTTCTTGAAGAAACGAGTCGGCCTTGAAAGAAGGTGGCTGCAGTGTACAGGGAAAGTGATGGAAATCAAAGAATTGAAGTACAGCACTGATGCATCCTGGGCTCTCCCTGTCTACTCTCTTCGTGGATCGGCTCCAATACCACTCCCTACCCATTACTGAGCTTCCTTTTTTTTTCTGTCTACTTTGGATACAAGAAAGAAAGCAAAACAGTGAAAGTGAAAAAGAAGAAAAGAAATTCAGGATGAGAAAGACTATGGAAGCCTTAGCAGCAACGCAGTGACTGAGATACTCATGGAAAACAGGAAAAGAAAAAGAAGGAGAAAAAAAAGCTAAAGCTTAATATCCCTGAGAGAGTCCAGACCCTGGAGAGTAAAAAGAGGATCCGTCAATGGAGAAGAGCAGTAGCAGAGCATTTGATTTCGGGTACAACCCAACAAAAGGTAGAGAGTGGAGACTCCCTTTCTCTCTCTCTCTCTCTCTCTCTATCCCTCAAATGAATTAATCCAACAGACTTACTACTAACAGCTCTCTCATCGGGAATTGAAATATATGAAGAAGTGCAGGAGATGACGAAATGACCACGCGCTCTGAGCTCGTTTCACGATGCGATTCCCTTTCTTACCTCACCACCAGGACCGTCCCCCTAGCTCACTACTACCCCATCCCCTATCCCCTTATTGAATCAATTTTAAATGTGTAGTAGTGACTAGGCAGAGTGATCAGGGATACCTCTAGATTCTATATACCACTAATTTTGAAGTTAAACTATTATTCATCTTTTCACTTTATGACCCTTTTGTCCCTTAAAATCTTAATCTCTCAGGCTCAGCTAAACAGCAGCAAACTACCTTAACCATGGTTAGCCATATATTTCATCCTGATATTGATTGCAAATTAAGTGATCAGTACAAGCAATAGTTATCATATATGTATGCTACATGTTCGATAGATAACAAGAATGAACTATAAAATCTATCTCTGCCTATTTACTATTTACTAGGTGGTGTAGATGATGAGATGAGCAATTTGAATTTATCCTTTGTGTCACACTACAACTTCATTGTCTAACTCTCACTCCAATAATTCCTACTTTGCCTGATTCTGTCAACCAAGTGGGTACTTGTTAATGTGGAAATTTGTGGATGGTTAATTTGGTTCAGTAACATTGTAACAATCCACACAAATTTTACTTCATTTGATGCTGGCTCATTTCAAAATCACCTACAGAGAGTTCAAATCTACAAAATATAGAAGCTTCCCATTCACAATAAAAAAGCATGGATTCATCTTATGCGCCATGAACACGGATTATCATCATCATCATATGGGGTTGGCTATATGAATCCTGTTTTGTCATTTCGTTTTGTTCAGTGTCATATCCATAAATTATGGGCACTTGAATCATTTGATATTACTTTCACCTAATGCTTCTGTCTTTTAAGTTCTTTTGGCCCTTTTAACTTGTAACATATCTTTTTTTTTTTTTTTGTTCTAGCAGGGGCTAAAATTGCTTGGCTTTTCATCTGGGAGTGATTCAACCAAATCTAATGCCTGTGTATTTTGTAATACAAGAATTTGGAAAAAGAAAAACGATGTTGATCAAGTAGATTCAAACAACTCCAACCACCCTTTAATTGGGCCTACAAGGCTACAAACAGAAACAGTAGTTTGGGTAGACAATTGTAAGAGAAAATCTTGTATGTGCTGTGGATCTCGAGGGCCAACTGATGGCCTAGATCTGATTAGTACCCTACCCCCAGTACGAGTACTGCAGGAGGAAGGACGCCATCATCTCAACCCAAGTACTAGAGAAATGGGTTAACTATGCAGTAGTGTTCTGTGAGAGAAATGGATGAATTAAGCTATAAGATGAGAGCTGCTGTTTCAACTTTCAAATGGGGTGAGGCATGGATGATGGATGATGGCCATGGCCAAATGAACAAGAACCGATCGAGATCCTTTACGGAGCATCAAGAGAAACAAGGAAGCTGCTGTACCCATCAGATAGCTAGTAAGTAGTATATCATGATTGAGCTAGCAAAGGCTATTATATATATATATATATATGGGCATTGAAGCATGTGTTCGAGGAGAACACAACACGCCTCAGTTTCCATTCTTTGTCCTTGGTGGTGAATCTGAGTCAGTGGGGGCTCCAGCTGCTTCATCATTTTGCGTGAATGGTTGCAGATTCTCTTAACAAAAGAATACCCATGTATATAAAAATAAAAGGCAAGAAACATTAATAAAAAGACAACTCTACTATTTCAAATTTTAAAGAAGTTTAACTTCGGCGGGTAAATGTTAATGACATGAGATGATGAGCTAATATATGTATATATGGATATGTTGGCTTTTATAACTGCATGTATCCATCCATCCACTCTAAACTAAACTAAACAGCAGTGGAAGAAGGAGTCTTATTATGAATTATGATCAACATCCAAAATGTACCCGTACACTGCCAGATGCTCTCTCTCTCTCTCTCTCTCTCTCTCTCTCTCTTTGAATTCTTCTTTATTTTGGTAACTTTGATGGCTAAAATAAGGAGACAATGTCTCCAGAGAGGAGGAGCGTCTGCCCTGGTGCTTTGATAGAGTGGGTTATTGGGAACGACTGTCTAGTGTCTTCACTCTTCCACATGGACTGATTTTTCTTTTCTTTTTTTTTTTTTACTCTTTAATCACTACTTTCAAAGCGGATGAGTGAAAGAATAACCTGAAAGAGTAAGAACATAGAAGAGAAAAAGCCATATCATTACTTGAAAACAATGCTTAATTACACCAAAAGATAACCTGATAAAGAGTAAAGAACAAATGAGTCTGGTCCCCCCCCCATCCTTTCCCTCTGTGTGAAGCTTCCCATGAAGGCATGAACTAACATTTGATCATGGAGATTCTAAGTCAGTTAAGAGTTTGTTTGATTGCTTAGAAAAGGTGACTTCAGAACAGAAAATAATAGAGAGAAATGCTAGCCTCACAATGAGGTTCTTACTGTAGCTGTTACAAATCGCTCAGTTAGCACTAGCAGTATTATTCTAGAATTGTACACAATGGCAGTAAAATAAAACTTGATAAAGATTCCCTTTGTTCCAAAGTAAAATCTCACTTTACCTCTATGTAGTAAAATTTGGAGAGTAAAATAATTAATGGGTTTAGAATTTACTTACTTCTATTCATCTTCGTTTGATTGGAGAAAAGAAAGTCTGTAATTGGAAAATGAGTCACACATAAGCGTGCCCCACCTTCAAGGATCCACCTATGGGTCTCACATGTGAGAGTGGATCTGCTAGTAACAAACAATGTTAGTATTAATATCATTGGTTTTGTGCCATCTGTTCACATTAATAATTTTTGAAAACTCTCAAATTTCAGACAGGTGGCACAAATCTATGCTGTGCCTCGGGTTCTTTGTTACTAGCAGATCCTGACTCTGTTGGTCAACATACATTAGTCCCACATGTGGGCTCCAATCCCTTTGTCCCATATATGGATCTTGTTTGTTGGTTCACATGTGGGTTCCATTTATTTGTTGTTCTCACATGTGCGGGGCCTACTATGTTCTAAAGTAAATAAAACTTTCTTCTCCAAAAAAATCAGTTTTTTTTTTTTTTTTGAAGTAAGCACATTGGGTTGTTATTATAAACAAAACCCTAATTTAATAAGATTTCTGAAAGCCTTTATAAAACTTTAAAAGCTGTTCTCCCTAGCCTTGAAGTTTTTGGCAGTCATGAGCAAGAATCTTTGATTATAGCAGAAGAAATAGGGAGTATGATTAGTGGAAGATTGATCTTTTCTACAGGTCCTATATATAGAGCTTCAATATTGTTTTCTTGAATTCCTACATAAATATAAATAGTAGTCCTTTAGGAAATATGAGAATTTTTCCTTCTAATGCATTTAATGGTTAGAATATCCTTATTGGGTGTCAATTGGACCGGATTTGGTCCAATTCGATCCAGTTCAATGTGAATCCATTATAAATGGACCAGATCCAATTCAATCAAATGAATGTTTTGGACTAATTTAGACCAATCCAATTCAATGTTTGAACCATCCAATCTGTTCAAATTCATTTTGATTTAGATTGGTTTCAACCCAAACCCGGTCCATTGACACATATATTCTTATCTTATATCAATGGACCAGATATTGACTTAATAACTCAATCCAATATAAATTTGTTATGAACGGATCAGATCCAATCCAATCTAATAAATATTTTGGACCGGATTTGTCCAATCCAATATGTCTTGTTGGTCCGTCCAATCCATCCAAATTGATTTTGGACTGGATGGAGTCCAATCCAAAACCGGTCCATCGACACCCTTACTTATCTTATACAACAAACTATTGTACCAAAACCCAGTACGTACATAGTATAAACTTAACTAAATATTGTAGTCTTAACATAAAAATCATAATCCAGTTCCATTTCATGAAACCCACAACATTTCTTTACATTTTATTATATTATTCTTGAGAACCAAACACATACTAGATAAACTTTTTTTTTTTAATTTTCTCTTCATGCAACAGATTTCCTTTTCTAACAACCAACGAAACCCTAACATATTGCAGAATGTGAAGACATGGATTGATTTTGCTGATGCAGCTGTTTTTGAAAAACAAAACCAATCATATTGTCAAACACCCCCTTGGTTTGGGCATAGAGATGTTGAAATTATTTATGAAATTGTTGGTCAATATTTTTCATTATTTTCAAAGCTTTAGAAAATAAGAGAGAAACAGATTTGTTAATAAAATCTGTGAAATTTCTTAACAACTTTCCATATATTTTTTTTATCTTATTTTCAGTCAAACCATGTACAGAGTAAAGACATATATATGTAATTATGTTGCAAGGGATTACCAAATTTATGCAAAACCAAGGCCTAAGCCCAAAGCCCAAGCCTTCATTGTAATTCTCCAGTTTGTCCTTGGACCCAATATTGAATCTCAAAGCTTGTCAATCTCTAATTTCCAATCTCATTGTCAATCTTGTTGACAGATTGATTTGACTACAATTGCTCTTCATTAATTACACCTTAACGGCTATTTGAGACAGTCACAATGATTCTCCATAAAAAGAAGGAAAGAAACGAAGAAGGACAAAAATCCCTCTCAAATCTTTGTCCCCATCTACGACCAACAGCCGATAATCACAATTTTCTAATGGAACAAAGGTCGGGGACTCGGGGCAAGGAACCATGATTAAGGCGCAAATTTGTGCTTGACAAGCCTCAATCCTCGTCCAAATATCATTTATGCTTGCAAAAGACAAAGCAAAAGGGAACACAAACACTCATGACTCATGCCTGATTTGTGTAGCAAAAGTCCCCCACCCGACAAATTTAGACTTTGGGAGCATATCTATATATGCATCTCATAGCTCTGAGTACTGAGTACAAAGAAATCTCTGCCGAAGCTTCTCAGGCATTCTAAGGTTTGTAAGTATTTAATTATTTTACTGTGGCCGGGGTAGGGCTACGATCTGGTCTAAACCACCAGCTGGCCTTTTTTTTGACCTTTTAAAATAGTTTTGTTTTTTAAGTTGCAAGGTCAGCCTCTTACTACTAGGAGTAGGAGTAGATCTCTATTATTAGCAACGGCTGCTGAGGCTAACCTAAATGCTAGGCCTACATTAATTAGTTAAACTAAAATATAATTTGCAAGT